AATCTCACCAGTCCTATTAAACAAAGTGCCAGGAGTTGTAGCCAGCTCAATAGGGGGAAAAAAAAAAGGTCACTTAGCATGGCCTTCATTTTTTCATCTAATTTGCAATCAAATTCAACCAATTTTGTGAGCATCCTGATTATCAGTGCTTTGAATTGTGCATCTAATAGTTGGTTATCTCTTCATCACTTAGTTGTATTTTTCCTGGAGCTTTGATCTGTTCTTTCTTTTGGGCCATTTTTCTTCTCATCACACCTGTTATGTAGTGAGGGGCAGAGCCTTAGATATTCACCTGAGCAGGGCAACTCACATGGGTGTGTTGTGAGGCTGTATGTGGGGAGGGGTCCGAGAGGAAACAATGACGTTTGCTCCACTCTCTGCTGGATCTCAGTCACTTCCCCTGCTTTCCACAAGCAAATTGGGCCCTTCTGATGCTGATTCATATGTGGGTGGGTTTGTATACATTCTAGGACCCTGTGGGTCTGTCCAAGGAATTCTCCTGTGAGGTTGGGAGTTTCTCCTGCTGCCTCAACCCCCAAAGGTGTTTTCAATCAGTAGTTTGAGGTTTTATTTCCCCACAATGGGGCCTTGAGTTGCGTAGTCCCTCATGCTTCCCAGTTGTTCCTCCTGTTTTATCTGTGCACAAATGTGAGACCACCCAGTCTGCAATCCGCCACCTTGCCAGGTCTGCCCGCTGCTGCCTTGCTGGCCAGCTGCAGCCTTGCTGGCCAGCTGCAGCCTTGCTCACGCAGGTCCTCCAGCCACTGCCTTGTTGCATGTCCTCTCTGCCAGTTGCCTGTCTCTGCCCCTCCTACCGGTCTAGATGAATGTTTCTTCTTTAACTCCTTGGTTGTCGGACTTCCACACAATTCAGTTTTCTTTCAGTTCTTGTTTTGTTTTTAAATTGCTGTTGTCCATCTTTTGGTTGCGCAAGGAGGCACAGTGTGTCTACCTACGCCTCCATCTTGGCCAGAAGTCTTGTATTATTCCTTACAATTGAATGTTAATGTACAATCATCTCAAAAATAAAATGGTTAACTTTAAAAAAATGTGAATTGCCCCTAAATCTCTTGTTTTTGTGCACCTTGTATTCTTAGCATTGCAGGGAAAGATAAATGCATGAATGCTGTTGGTGAGAGTATAAACTCTCCTATTCAATGATCCCTATGTTAGAGGAAATTGGCAGTTATTTTAAAACATAGCACAACACCCAGGGAATGACTTATTTATGGCTTGTTTTTTTCCTTTGTTTCTTGCTTGTCCCTGCGTGCCAGAGATAACAACTGCCCCTGTGTGCTGGAGATCACATTTCGCTTCTTCCGTAAGCTTTTGCACCAGAAGTAACAGTCTGAGTGACAGACCACCCCTTACCCTATATAAGCAATTTCTCCCCACTGATCAGGGCCCAGAGTTTGGAGACTGTCTCCCCTGGGTCTGCATGTGTAATAAAGGTTCCACTTCTCTTCCTCCAGTGTTCGGTCTGAGTCTTTCCTGTAACACCTAGAGAGGCCATATTCTTGTCAAGCATGAGTCTTTTTCCTTTCAACAAGAATCTCATTCAAGGATTTTCGGCCATGACGGAGGTGTAGGTGGAAACACTGGACCTTCTCACACAACCAAATTTATGAACAACAAATATTTAAAAACTGGAACACAACCAAAACAGAGAGAAAATTAAATTGTACCAAAGTCCAACAACAACAAACCATCCATCCAAACCGGTAGCGGAGTCAGCCATTGGTGGAGAGGGCTTGCACAGGAAAAAGCATCCAGACCCACCCAGGAGTGCAGGCGGTGGTTGGCAGATACCAGGCACGAGGTGGCAACAGGTAGACCCAGTGAGGGCGCAAGGTGGCTGGCTGACCGCAGTCACACAGTCTCATGCAGATAAACCAGGCAAAGGAGCGAGCAGTGAGATAGACCTCGCAACCCAGGGCCCCAGCACTGGAGAAATAAAGCCTAAAGTACCAACTGGAAAAACTTTCATGTGTCAAGGTGCCGAGAGAGGCTCCCAGGCTCACAGAGAGTTCATTGGAGAGACCCACAGGGTCCTGGAGGGTACACAGGCCCACACATCTGGGAACTGGCACCAGAAGGGCCCAATTTGCTTGTGGGAAGCAGCAGAGGGAACTGAAAGCCAAGAGAGAGCAAAAACTGCCATTGCCCCTCTCTGGCCCCACCCCCACATACAGTGTCACAATCCAGCAACTGGGTTGCCACGTCCTGGTGAACACCTAAGGCTCTGTACCTCACGTAACAAGCACAAACAGACCAAAACATTATAGCTCAAGAAGAAGAACAGCTCAAAGCCCCAGAGCCAATACTTCTAAGAGACCAAGAGATAGCTAACCTATCAGATGCACAGTTCAAAACACTGGTGATCAGGATGCTCATAGAATTGGTTGATTTTGGTCGCAAATTAGATGAAAAAATGAAGGCTACACTAAGTGAAATGAAGCAAAATGCACAGGGAACCAATAGTGATGGAAACAAAACTGGGACTCAAATCAATGGAGTGGACCAGAAGGAAGAAAGAAACAACCAAACAGAAAAGAATGAAGAAACAAGAACTCAAAAAAATGAGGAGAGGCTTAGGAACCTCCAGGACATCTTCAAATGTTCCAACATCTGAATTATAGGGGTACCAGAAGGGGAAGAGGAAGAGCAACAAGTGGAAAACTTATTTGAACAAATAATAAAGGAGAATTTCCCCAATCTGGCAAAGGAAATAGACTTCCAGGAAATCCAGGAAGCTCAGAGAGTCCCAAAGAAGGTGGACCCAAGAACACTCCAAGACACACTGTAATTATATTAGCCAAGATTAAAGATAAGGAGAGAATTCTAAAAGAAGCAAGAGGAAAAGAAAGAATTACCTACAAAGGAGTTCCCATGAGACTATCAGCTGATTTCTCAAAAGAAACCTTTCAGGCAAGAAGGGTCTGGAAGGAAGTGTTCCAAGTCATGAAAGGCAAGGACCTCCACCCAAGATTACTCTATCCAGCAAAGCTTTCATTTAGAATGGAAGGGCAGATAAAGTGCTTCTCAGATAAGATCAAATTCAAGGAGTTCATCATCACCAAGCCCTTATTATATGAAATGTTAAAGGGACTTAATTAAGAAAAAGAAGATAAAAAAGATGAACAGTGAAAGGACAGCAAACTCACAGTTATCAACAACCACACCTAAAACAAAAGCAAGGTAAAAGGACAGCTAGATCAGGAGCAGAACCATAGAAATGAAGATCTCATGGAGGGTTAGCAACAGAGGAATGGGAGGAGGAAAAGGGGGAAGAAGGTACAAAGAATAAGTAGCATAGACGGTAGGTAGAAAATAGACAGGGGGGAGGGCAAGAATAGTAGGGGAAATATAGAATTTAAAGAACTTGAGACACGTGGTCATAAACTAAAGGGGGGAATGGTGGGGGAGGGGTGTGCAGGGTGGAGGGGAATGAAGGGGGGAAATGGGACAACTGAAATGGCATAATCAATAAAACATGTTTTTAAAAAATAAATAAAAAGGGGGGGAAAATCTCATTCACCAGGCATGATGAAGGTTCAACAGGGTTGTAAATCTTTAAGTATGAGTTGAGTTTTGTTTTACATGGCTATTGACAGATGCCTAAATCAGCTGATGGCGTGTTCCAGGAAAAGAAGCATGAAAGAAAAGAAACTGTTTTGAGGCCCCTGCTGCTGACAGCAATACTGGTAAAGAATGGTATGGTCAATAATCCGAGCAAGAAATCTCCTCCAAAGGATCTATTGGTGTGTATTCTAGTGAGACATGGACAGAGGAAAAAGTAATGATAATCCTGTTGGGAAGGATTGGGTTGTAGAGCATCTAGTCACGGATGACTCGGGAAAAAGTGAACTTACTAAGAGAGAGGCATAGGCATGCAGGAAGTCTGCTGATTATTTCTTTTGAAAGTTTCACATTTATATGGTTGGCCATGCTTAGACTATTTCTGGAATAGGGTAACAAGATTTTGGGGAGGGGAAATGAATTGCTGAAGGGCAGGAGGAGGGAAATTTTGCTTTTTTTTTTTGTGTGTAATATCTCGTGCATGTATTATCCATAAGAATGAATAATTTTAATACAGTTAATTGGTGGCTAGATTTCCCATAAGGTTTTCTTAGAGTACTATTTTGCTCGGGTTTTTGCTTGAAGGTTTAAGTCTAGAAAGCTGTCACCTTCCCACCTTTGCCATTGGGTCTACAGATGTCCCTGGCATGGGTTATACAGTTAAGTGTATGGATGAAACAGTGAAAAATAGCACTGACTGACAGCAGACTTGGGCTCTTGTCCTGAGTCTCACTAAGTAGTTGTGACCTTGGTCAAGCTCTTTTGAACTATTTCCCTGGGCTTCATTTTCCTTATTTGCTAAACAAAGAACTTGTTCTCTAACATCCTCGGTAATTTTAACAGTTACTGTCTCATTTTCTTGTGCCCTCCACTTGTGGGAGGGGGGTACCTGCGCATTCGGTAAACATTGGTTAACCCGGTAGGGGCTAAGAGGGCACCAGGAAGAAAAGGAGGTGCCCCCTCTCAGTCCTTGAGTACAAACCAGTGGTTCTATGGGCCTCTCACGTCCCTGAGACTATTTTTCACTCCCCATCCTGATTCCTGGAGTAGTTGGTGGTCAACAAATGAATGTGTGAAGGAAGCTGCGCAATTATTGAGCGAATTACTGCAAAAAATTACAAACACGCCGCCTCTCCCCGACGCTCCAAGGCGACTTCCGGAGTGCGAACCACGGGCAGGTCAGAGGCACAGGCCTTTCATTTCTCTCTGCGCCAAGAGGACAGCGGCCGGGCAGAGGCAGAAGGCGGGAGCTCGCCTTGCGCCACCGCGCGCGCGCGCCACCTGGCGCGCCACCGCCCCTCTCCGCGCTCCCGGCTTCTCACCACGCGCGCGCCTCGGGACTCCGGAGGGCGGTGCGCTAGATCTACGCGGCTCTGGGCGGGCTGCCGCGGCTTCGCGCGGGTGGGTGGGATCGCGGCGGAACTGCGAGCGCCGGAGCAGGGGCGGGAGAGCCATGGTGGCGGCATCCGGTCCCCGCGCCGCGACGAGGTGAGGGGCCGCCTCTTCAAGGCTGAGGAGGCCACAGCTGCCCACTTGCTTTCCACGACGGCCGCGGCTCCGGCATGGCCGGGATCATTAAGAAGCAGATCCTGAAGCACCTGTCCCGGTGAGAGCGCCAGCGCCGGTCCGCAGCGGTCCCGCGGCCCTTCCTAACCCCTTAGACCCAGCCTCCCTCTCTTCGGCCCCAGCCCGGACTCCGTGGCGGCTCCCGCCTCCACCCGAGCTGGACTGCCTTCTCCTCGCTCCGCTGGCCCCGCCGTTGTCGCCACTCTTCTTCCCTTACCCTGGGCCCCCGGGTACCGGCGCTCTTGCCCTTGCGCTCGTGCCTTGGGCTCTCCTCCCCAGACTAACAGCCCCTCTATCCCCCGACCCTCAAGGATCTACCGGTCCCCTACCCTCAGTTCCCACACCGCCCAGCGGGTCAGCCCGACTTCCCTTGCATGTCCACCCTCACCCTGTAGGGAGGCCCTGTGACCGTCCCTATACGGACCCCACGGACTGCACCCTTCCCTGCCCGCCCCAGCTCTCCCACCCAGCTCACCCACCTTGGGCTCACCGCCCCGCCCTCCTGGCCCTCCGTGTGCCCCAGACCGGGCCCTCCAGCGCCTCATGTCCTTCCTCGGACTGCTCCAGACTAGACCCTTTAGCCCCTGGCCCATTCTCAATAACACTCGCACCAGCCCTTCAGAACCCATTTTCCACTCAGATTTCCAACTCCCACGCTGGTTTTCTTCCCAGAGGCTCCCAGCTCCTCCTCTTGGTCATCTCGCTGACCCTGTTGCATCACCCTTGAAAAAGATATCCCCGCACCCAGGGCCATTCCTTTGATCACCTTTCTCCCTCCTTGCTTCTCTTCTCATTACACAGACTAAATGGAGAAAGGTCAAGAGTACTGGGCATAAAGTTTCAACAACCTTTCCTTTAAGATACGGAGGTTTTTTTGACAGCCCGTGAAAAGAAGTAAAACAATGTGCACTTCTGCTTTGCAGCCATTTATTAGCAGTGTTATGTCCCAGTAATTTTGGCAGGAGAGGGTGGCAGGGAATACAGTTTGCAGGTGTAACTGGATGACTGCTGACCCTTGTGTTACTGTTGCAGGTTGTCAGCACTGGTGTCCACAAAATTTGGGAGCTAGGATTTCACTTACTTTTCACTCCTTATTCCAAGCAGGAGTTGGTGATGTTATAATACCTTTAGCCACTTTGTATCTCAAGGGGAGAGTGATTCAAGCCTTAGCTCCAGTGGTCAATGGTTTTCAGGAGGTGGGAGCTGGGGAGAAGCCAGGACACCCTGGCCTTGCATTGATTGGTGTGTCTTTCCTGGTCTTCTCATTGTGTTGGTGAGTGGTTTGTGGGACCCTATTGCTGCCACTGCATCCCCTCTTTGGTCACTACTCTGACTTATTTACTGTTGCTTTGATTTTAGACTTTAATTAGCAACGGATTCCGATACATCTTTTGATAATCACCATATTATCAAAGTGAAAGCAGATTGGCTGCTGGAGCTAGAAAGTGACTTTGGATCATTTACTAGGATTAGCTCCCTAAGATATTCTTTTTCAGTTAGAATTTGTCTATGTGTTCCATGAGTTTGGTTGTTCTGTATAAAGATTTAAATAAAATCAGAACTAATGATTGTGAAACAGGACAGAATATTTAACTAAAGGACACCTATTAATTTGAATGAACATGAAAGCAGAGTAGTTTAGGGTTTAGAGATGATCTCACCTAACTAATAACATTACGTTTAAGAGCCCAGACTTTTTCTGGTTTACTCTATTCAGCTGCGAAATGAGTATAATAATGGTAATGTACTTTAAATTGTTATTGTGAGGGTTCAGCACAGTGCCTTGCATACAGCAAGTGCTCAATAAACACGAACTGTGGTTAATTTTTGGGCTACTGCTTGTGTGACAGTTTGATACAAGCCATAGACTACTCCAGAAAAACCCATATATGTGAACAGGTAATTTTTATGTAAATTCCCAGGTGGGGGGAATACGAAACCCTTAAAGCACATGCCTGAACCTTACAAAGCATCCTGGACCTAGGTAAATAACCCTTTGCTAATTCAGCCCCTCATTTTATGGCTGAGGAAACTAAACCCTAAAGACTAGAGAGGGTAACTGACTTGCCCAATCCGCAGAGGAAGGTCAGGTGTAGTGGGAGAGGACCAGCTTCCTGACTGGTGTACCTTCTGCTGTGGTACACACACGGTCTGCGCACTTCATATCCCTGTGAGGGTACGGGTTTTTTTAAAAAAGATTTTATTTATTTATCTTTAGAGGGGAAGGGAAGGGAAGGAGAGAGGGAGAGAAATATCAGTGTATGGTTGCTTCTGGTGCACCCCCTGCTGGGAACTGGCCTATAACCCAGGCATGTGCCCTGACTGGGAATCGAACTTTGATCATTTGGTTCGCAGGCCTGCACTCAATCCACTAAGCTATACCAGCCAGGGCTTGAGGATAGGATTTTTAAAGAAAAATTTGATGGTATATGGTGACACATTCAGTGACTCCTTAGGGAACAAACTGTCTCTTTTAGATGAAGTAGGAATAGATATGACAGACATTGGGAGAGATTTATGCTTTCCTCAGTGTGGGGTGGTTGATTGAGGAGGAGAAAGAGGAGGGTGTTCAGGTCTGCAATTTCAGGGCGCTGTGACATATGCCTGGTTAAGGGGAAGGTCAAACTCTTGGGGTTTGTATTTGACTTTGAAAAACTGTCCAGTCATGTGCGACATTTGTGCCTCTTTATGGTCTCTACTACACCACCTACATAGGTTGGCCTGCCTGGAGGGGAACTGTAATTTCTGTAGCTTGCCAAACCTGATGAGGAAAGAGAGGAGAGAAAAATACTGAGTTAGTATACTAAATAAACATTGGTAGGTGTTTAATAGTTACTTGTTGCTCATGACGACAGTGCTGATTTCCTCCACACAACTTGGAGGAAAGTGTCTCTATAGCAGGAAAGTTATCCCAGTGGCCTCATGTTCTGTTTAGTTTTAGTCATGAAGTTTCAGATATAAAGCATCTTATTGGAAGCTATCTTCCATATTAGTAGAGTATTTTGATAAACAAGATTTGTGGGAGGCGGTCTTCAAGATATTTTTTGTCATGTGCCAACTCGAGACGAGGCAGTGGTCTGGGCACTGGGGATTCAGCATGGGAGAAATGTAAACATCTTTTAAGGGCTTTCACCTATGGTTTGGGTGACTGCTATATAATACAAGTAGCTTCAATGCCCAGTATTCATTTAAACAGACCTAGAAGGAGACCTCTACTCTGAAACAAGGGTGATCATTTAAAAAATATCCAAATTGATGACGACCTGTGAGGAACTCCCCAACTTAGTTTTTATATTCATAATAATATCCTGTATTAGCTATTCACCTAAAGTCATTATATTTTTTAAATTTGTGAAGTGTTTTCATGCAAGTAATTAAAAGATTAGTGTTAAAGCAAAAAAAAAAAAAAAAAATCCAAATTGAGCCCTGGCCAGGTTGCTCAGTTGTTTGCAGCCTTGTCCATTGCACCAAAAGTTCGCAGGTTCTATCCCTGGTCAGGGTGTGGATGTGAGGCAAACAATCAGTGCCTGCCTGTCTCCCCGCCCCCACCCTCACCCCTTCCTCTCTCTCTCTCTAAAAGCAATAAACATGTCCTCGGGTGAGGATTAAAAAAATCCGAAATTGTTTTTTTACTAAATTAGACTTCTCTTGTTTGAGATCACCTTAGCTAGTGACCGTTCATTATAAAAGTAAGAGGAAATCTGATTGATTGTGAAGTAAGTCAGGGACTATGGTTCGTGGAAATTTAGACTCTGGTGCCAAACAAGCTAGATTTCACCTTCCAGATCTGCTACTTAATGAATGGGGCAGCCTTTCTGAGCCTTAATGTTTCTTATCTGTAAAAGATGAGAATAGGGAAGAATGCTACATTCTTGGCAGATTTTTTTGAGGATTGGGGATAAAGCTGGCATGTAAGTAGGGTTTAATAAAGAGTAACTGTTATGACATGGCCGGAGCAGGTAGGGACACTACCACAGTAGGACGACAGCAACCCGCCTGACTGGGTATTTTAGAAACCCATTAGAAGTCTTAATTATTTACTCTAAATAGATGCAACAAATACGACCTTGAGTGATAGAGACATAGCTGATAAACATGATAGATATTTTAAAAACATAAATATTAGGTGAAATTCAGAGGCATAACAAACTTCAGAGTTCTTTGGGAGAATTAGAGAGCCTGACCGTGCACTCAGCCCTCTGAGTTCCCGATCAGCGCCACCATTCGTTGCTATCATTATGCTGAAGAGGTCATCGTGGCCAGTCCCCGATGGACAGTGGCGACCTGCAGGCTCAGAGAGGCTGACTGCTTGCTCAAGGTCTGTTTAGGTGAAGGTTTGTAGGACTACTCTCCACTTCCAGGTTGTGCCTCTTTTTGGTCACCTTTGTTTCCTAAACAATTATTTTGTGCATTTTCTTAAAATAGTCAAATCATATGTCTTTGTTTCTCTTCCTTATCTTCTTATGTTGCTTCAGAATAAAGAGCTTTTATTTACCTAACAAATATTTAATAATAATAGTCAGCTGTGCAAATAAGTACTTTAAAAGTCTTAGGACGATTTAATCCTCAGACTAACCCTAGGAGGTAGGTATTAGGCCCATTTTATAGATAAAGAAAGGAGGCAGAGAGGTCAAATAACTTGCCCCAAATCATAACTAGTAAGTGATGTATCTGAGATTAAAACGCAGGCACTCTGATTCCGGAGCCGTGCTTTTTAACCTACTCTCTTGCTATAATGGTTTTCATTTATTCACTATTTGCACATACCTTTGTTACCAGCACCCACATGAAGGAATAATATTACTAGCACCCAGGAAACCTCCTTGTGTCTCTTCATTATTACCTCCACCACAGAGTAACCACTGTCCTGCCTTTGAGCAATATAGATAAGTTTTGTCTTTTTATATTTTATGTAAATGGAATAATACAGTACGTATGCTTTATGTCTGGTTTCTTTAGCTCAACATTATTATTATTATTGTATTGATTAGCGAGAGGGAGGAGGGGAAGAAAGAGAGAATGAATATCTATTTGTTGTTC